AAATAAACTACGAAAAAAAAACACGCAAAGTAAAAAACTAATTTGAATAAAATGAACTTGAATTCTATTACAGAGCATGCAAGATAGAGAACTATTTTAACTAAGGGGTCATCTTTGTCTTCTCCAACGTCGATCTGAAACAGATACGGTGGTAACAGATTAATAAGGAGCAATTAAAATTAATTATATAAAGTATTCTCACCTTAATTAAGTGTAGACTGTAATATTCCAAAATTTGCATGTCTGAAAAGCAAACCAAATCCAGGAGGAATACCATAGCAGAAAATGTGTTGTTTCAGTGGAATTCAAGATTTTCTTTTCAGTTGCTGTTACTCATGGGCCGAAGATTAACTGCATAATCATGATGTTGCAAGGCGAAGACGCAAAACACCAAATCAAGAATTTGGACCACGAAAGCCGACACCCATGTAGACATTGGTTGTCAACCAAACTGAACATTAATTCCCTCTCATTTGTTGGAACATCTGTAGAAATGGAAAAAAAGACATGTTAATTAAAATCAATTTAAAATACTATACATACGCCATAACGCCAATTTAAAATGTGCACAATAGATAATTGTTAAAAAAAATGCCATTACAGATTAATAAAGAGCAATTAATATTAAGGGTGTCATGTATTCCTACCTTAATTATCTGTAGAGAATAGCATTCTAAAATCTACCAATTAGACCAAATCTAGGAGGAATATCACAGCAGACAATTTATTGTTTCAGTACTTCCCAACAATTTCTAATTGCATCATATTCTCAGAGCCAAAATCAAAAGACATCAAAAGCATCAGTTGTTTCAGTAGCACCAAAATTAACTGCAAATCCTTCTCATTTAGTGAGCAATCTATAGAAATAGACAAGAAGAAGTAATTAGTTAATGTTTTTAAAGCAAGTAAATCAGTTATATTTTAAAGTGGATATGTGGTAGTAAAGTTAAAAGGTGGAATGGTCAGTTGCGCATTAATCCTGTTAATCCGCTTAGGCCATTTCTGAATTTAAAAAGTTGTCTATTGAAAATAAATTATAAATGTCAAAGAAACTGAAATTTCTGGAACCTCATTTGAAATTTTTATTTAATACTGTTACTTACCAGTTATTGACATAAATCCTTCCTTAAGCAATGGCACATCATTTCCGTTCCAAATGGAAAAAAGACACCTTCATGCTTTCTTTAGAACCACAGGAACAGATACTTCCTGGAACGAATGAGATCTGAAAGAACCAATGCTCTGTAATTTAATGTTTTTATAATATTCCTGTAAAATTATATTTTATGAAAAGTATTCAGATATAATTAATTTAGCCTCCCTAATAAACAACGTGCATAATACAATATTAAAGTTAATATCAAATAAATATACTATATATATGTATATATTAGCTTGTATGCCCACCTTAAGAACAACAAGATCCTTCACGATTAAATGTTCATACCACACTTGTTTTTTCAGTATCACCAAAATTAACAGTTTTCCACTCTTATTTAACGAAAATCTGTAAAAATAGAAAAGAAAAACGATTAAACCACACTTTTAAACAATTAAAACGTCAAATACAATAAAAATATGCACCGAAAGCAAGTAAAATTACAAAATTTTAAAAATGGCGACGTAAAGTCGTCTTTATTACAAAACGGTACGTACATGGAAAAGGTGGAGATGCTAAAAATTCATACATTCATAAATAATTGGGTTTGCCAATTTATGCTGGAAACGTATAGATAAAAACTATAGAGCATAAATCGAAAAACGAATCATTAAGCCAACATTAAGTATTTTACGTTTAAATTTAAAAATCAACATTCCTGTAATTTAAAATTAAATTAAAATAAAAATTCTTAACGTCTATTCTTACCTAGTATTGTTCCTCACTTCCATAGAATTCTTTTCATTCAATTTTTTTCACTATGAATTCTCATGACTGAATCAACGCATACACTGTTGCTATAAACTTCAACTGGATATTTTCAGAAAAAATGAAGATAAACTGATGCTTCCCAATATATCCAATAATTGACAAATTAGGGAGTAGTTCGATATTCTTTTACAAAAAAAGTATTTTCTCCACCTCATGCAAAATGTTCCAGGAAGTAGTCTGTTGCTAAAATTGTCAATAAATTAATAACATGCATAATATTAATGATATTACATTAATATCTAAGTATCTTTAATATAATTACTTACCGCTATTGTTTCTGTTTTCAGTTAACAAAAAGACAGTATATTCCTATGGTGCTGTTTATCACCTGCTATTTTAAAATTATTTTATCAATCTATGGACATATTTTTTGGCAAACTATGGACTTTACCATAGGCCATAGATAATCATAGACATAGATTATAGATACGAGTTTAAAGATTTTAGGAATATTTTGTTTACCCATAGATATTCGATCCTCATGTTAGATAATCCTCTTGATATATGCTCTCGATTTAGAAGTGTTCCTTTCATGTCCCATCTGAAACTTATATTTAGTAGTAATTTTCAATTATTTGTAAAACTTTTGTTTTTACACTGAGCGTATATGTACGAATGGAACCATAATTATTGTCTGAAATTGAGATTAGGTTATAACATTGTAAAATATAATTATAATCCGAAATAAGCAGATAATATTATGAAAAGTATCTAAACTCATAACGCACAAAGTAACTCAAAATGGAGGGGCGCTTAAAGTTTTACTAAAAGTAATTTGTTCTTAGTTATTCTTAGTAAATTAGATAATTTTCTTGAGAAACGATCAATAGTTTTTTGAAAAAGGAACCAAAATTGCCAAAATAACGGGGCAGGTACAAAAAAATATTATTGTCGCGATTATTTTATTATTATTACATTATTAGTATATAATTAGTATTGACATACACTTGAAGTTGAACATGTTTTTATTCACGGTAGATAATTCGTTATAATAGTTTTTTACATTTTTATTTTTCATACTCTCAATTTCGTGTCAAAATTAGCTATAAGTGCTCATTCTTTTGTGAAAAACCAAAGAAATTTTAGTATTTTGAAAAGAAAACGTATATGAGTGACTCGTAGAAACAATTTCAAAATGGCAGCCACTAGAAGATTGCAAAAGGTAATAAAATTATTTAAAATTGTACTTTAAATACAAATTTTACTGATTATATGCTTTGTATTTACTGTTACCTATTGTTTAGTTTTGTTTGTCTTTGTGAATGTGTGTACATTTTTATTATGAATCGTTACTTCTAAAAATTAAATATATTTGAAGGAAATTGTTTTATATCTTAAAGCTTTTATAATGTGGATCGTGAATAATTTCAATTAATGGTTTCAGGAATTAGGAGATATAAGGCATTCTGGTTTAAAATCATTTCGTGACATTCAAGTAGACGAATCAAATATATTAACTTGGCAAGGGTTAATTGTACCAGTAAGTAATCTTAATTATTAAATAAGACAAACAATTAGCAATTTTTGTCCCACAAGTAATTGCAATTGTTTTTAAGTAGCTACTGTAAATTATAACTTGATGTATTCAGTTTAGTCAGTGACTTATCAAACTGTTTATGGCATGTTGATAATGGCTGATAAGCTCAAAATCGCAATCCACGCCAGGAAGTTTCAATAAATTACTGACCAGGAACTTAATGTTCTTTATATACTTGATTTTAGGACAGCCCACCGTACAACAAAGGTGCTTTTAAAATAGAGATTAATTTCCCAGCTGAATACCCTTTTAAACCACCAAAGATAAACTTTAAAACGAAGATTTACCATCCCAATATAGATGAAAAAGGGCAAGTCTGTTTACCGATTATTGCTGCAGAAAATTGGAAACCTGCAACTAGGACAGATCAAGGTGCTGTTATTAGGATACAAATGCCTTCTCCTTTATTTTCGTTAAATGTAAAAAGGGGTGATGGGAACTTGAAAATTTTATATTTTAAATTTATCAATTTGTTTTGTTTAGAATGTTATCACACATGTCAAAGTTTTTTGAATCTTATCATCTTTTGTTCACAAATTGGATGAAGATGTCATGGCAAATGGTAATATTGGTTTATTTTGCAGTTATACAAGCATTAGTAGCCTTAGTAAATGAACCTGAACCTGAGCACCCTTTGAGGGCAGACCTAGCAGAGGAATATTTGAAGGACAAGAAAAAATTCGCGAAAAACGCAGAAGAATTCACCAAGAAACACAGTGAAAAACGACCATCTGATTAATAGTTGCCCGTCATTTTCATCTTCATATTATTGTTAAATCAGCTCCAAGCATTAATAAAACAAACTCAAGTGAATTTCTTCAAAAAAGTCACCAGGTTTCTTTATTTTCCTCTCAAAATGAAAAAAGTAATGCATGATATCTCTTGATTAAATTCCTCTACTTGTAATTCTATTGTAAAGTACCTTTCCTATTGCTTGAAAACAAAGAAGAAAAATTGAATGGCTGTTGTAAACCTTGCAAAAAAATAGTATTGTTATTACATACTGTACATTTAGAACATTAGTGTACTGTTGTTAAGGTTTGCAGCTAAACTTATAGCATTACAATAAATTAATTTTACATTAGACAAGTTTTTTTATTTTTATCTCTTAGGATATTATTTATTATAGCAATAAATTGGTGACCTTAGAGATCCTTCATTAACCAACTAATATCATTTGCCATGACAATATGTTTTGACCACAGATTAGTGTTCATTATAAATAGTTAATTATTAATTTTTCAGGCAAATTACTGTTCTATAAAAGAATATCTTCAAATAAATTAACATTTTATAAGTTTCAAATTTCGGACATTAAAAAATGGTTTATTTTGTAATAAACAGAAAAGCTGTCCATGGATGACTTAAAAGAAAAAGTACTAAACAAGTGTTTGTAGGTGGAAATCAGTGAAATTATATTGCTGTGCAGCTTCCAACCCCTCCACCCCCCACCAAAAAATTTAGCATTCTACCCTATCCTCTCTAACCCAACCGCTTCCGCCTGTTCTAATCGACGATCCCATTGTATATATAATCACTTTTTCAAATGTTCATCTTCACCCCTATGCAAACACTTGTTTAGTATTGTACTAGGTCATCCCCCATTCCCTTTTCCTCACCCCCCAAACGACAGTTCCACTATCTAGATATTACCAAGTGTTTTGTCATTCTACGTTACGTCGTTATAGTAAAATTCATTCAATAGTTGACGAGTAAAAAATTTGTTTCAATTTTTTTACTTCTAAATCAATGTGACTTCCGGTCTAATAATTTGAAGATAGATAAATATCGTAAAAAAATAATCATTGAATCGTTCTATTTTTAGTTATACAAACTTTAATAGCTTTGGTTCAAGACCCTGATCCAGACACTCCAATAAGGACTGATGTGGTAGAAGAATTTATAAGAGATAGAAAGAAATTTATGAAAAATGCCGAAGAATATACCATTAGGCACGCGTTACCACGTCCAGAAGAATTACCAGATACACCCACAAAAAAACGTAAAGCAAAAAAGAAACAAGTTTAATTTTTAAAAGGTTACATTCAAATGTGAAACAGCTCTGTGATCGAAAAGGTATTTAGATGGAAACAAGACATGCCTTTTCTTTTTTCCCATTGTTTGTAAAGTCGTTAAAACGCTTATTTAATAAAGGTGACTTTCGTTAAAATGTTTGGAGTTATTGTGAGAAAAAATAACTGGGTATACTACATGATAAAAACTGCAAAACAAATATAATAAATTTGTGTTTACTTTCTACTTACAAGGTTGTATCAACGGTTATCTTTCTATGATTTTTGAGAAAGTTATGTACAAATTTTTTTATTTCCAATTCATCTGCAAAAGAATTAAGTAATTAATTTCTTTTTCTCTACTGTTTTTGATGTACAAATCGTAATTTTATAAATAAATAACTAAATTTTTTAATACAAATACATTGCAAAAACAGTTACTACACAAAAAAATGAATCGTTTGTAAAAATTTCAGATGTACAATTATCTACATTGGGATCCCATACGCATCTGAATCCGTAGTTAAAACCAGCCCCTTTTTCTCCTAAAACGACCTGAACTGCGTGCTTATATCTAAACATTTTTAAATCTTTGATATTATCGTTTACACCGTCTGCAATATTTGTAATCCACTTTTTTACTTCGCCACTGTCGTAGATTTTTCCTTTTAAATTACTCTCGAATTCTTGCACAATTATTGTTTTAATTCGATTAGGTCTAAAGTCATGTTCAAGACAGTCCTGAGGGATTTTAAAAAATGGCATTGCCTGTACCAAGTCACCTTCTTTATGTTTCTTATTTTTATTTGGGCTAGTTTTTACGATATTAAGCTTTAATTCTTCAAGAGTTTTTTTGAGATCTTCAGGTAGGAATTGTTCAAGATCCATTTTTAATATAATTAGAATTATTGATTTAACAACCCAAATTGTTACCACGATAATCGCCAACGCTATTAAAATTACTACTTTTTTAAAAATTAAATTCCAAGAACAAAAATGGAAACAAGGAATACTCAAAAAAAAGTGGCCACTGATTCAGTAATTCTACGCGAATTATATAAATATAATGTAATATGAAAATAAAAATTATTAGGGATAAAACAGACGAATCTAATTAAAATTAAAAATTGTTATTAAATATATATTACCTTTGTCTAGAAGCGAATGTGAAATATTTCTTGCCATACTTTTGAATGTATCCTTCGAGTCAAACCTCTTTTCAGCATAAGCAGGAGTAAGTAATTTAACAACCAACGTTCCGATTTCTGCTTTTTTCAGTTTGCCCTTTTTCTGAACATTTTCAGAGGGTCGTGACCTCGGATCGTTGATCACTTTTTTATCGCTTGTTTTAGGAATTGCTTCAAGAGCTTCATTCCCTTTTTGAGCATTGCTTGTGGTAGGAATCGACACCTTATTACATTCAACCGAATTTTCTAAAATCGGTTTTACAGCACCCTCATCACATTTATTTGTCTTTTCTTTGATATTTACAATATCATCAGGTACCATAAAGTTTTTGGTTTCGTGGTAATGTTTGATTTCAGAGGAATATGTATAGTGTTTGAATTTATCCGATACTTTATGACGTTTAGTTTCGTCGGTGTTTTTATGGTCTTCTGGGCTATTATGACGTTTACAATGTTTGGATTCTGAAGCACTCCCATGGTGCTTGTGTTCACCTTTAGAGTGCTCGGACCGATCAGTATTTCTGGAATCATAAGATTCGTTTGGACTTCTAGGGCATTTTGATTCATTAGTAGTACTAATGCGCTTGGATTCGTCTGGATTTCTGGGGTGTTTAGATTCATCCAAACTTATAGACTGCCGGGATTCATTTGGGCGTTTGGATTTATCTGGAGTTCTAGAGTGCTTGAATTCAGTTACAAATACAAAATTTTGGGATTCGTCTGTTTCCCTAGATTGTTCACATTCATCTGTACTTTTGAAATGCTTAGATTCACTTGGAGTATTTTTTGAGTGCTTAGAATCATCTGTTCTTTTAGAGTATTTTAATTTATCTTCGTCTTGGGAAAGTTTAGACTCATCTTCACTTTTAGAGTGTTTAGATTCATCTGAATTTTCAAAGTGTTTGGATTCACTTATACTTCTAACACTAGCAAACTCGTCTACAGTCTTAGTGGATTTGGATTTGTCCGAATGTTTATGGTTCTTATAATCATTTGAACGTTTTTTAAAGTGTTTTGAATTTTCTGGCGAACTCTTACTTTGCGATGACTCTTCCGAGCTTTTGCGACGTTTACTGTTATCTTTTGATCGTTTACGTTTGGTTTCGTCATATTTGGACGATTCTTTTGAGCCCTTTCTTTGCTTAGACTTTTTCTGGTGCGGTTTTTGCGATTGAAGTGTTTCTTTTAAACTGTTTTCTAGTTCTAAGTAAGCAGCGTCTAAATCGGAATCGTCGCCAAATAAGTTGTCTAAATTTAGTTGCGACTCTTTTAAATCTTTCTTTGATTCATTATCATCACTGTAGTCGCCAAATAAGTCTGACATTTTTGGGCTTTTTGGGTCGTTATTATTATAGGAAGATGCTTCATTATTTTCGATATTCAAGTCGTCGTCATCTAAATCGGAACTGTCGCCAAATATTTCTTTCAGATCTTTACCTTTCTTATCTTTTTTCTTTTTCGTTTCTTCGTCATTGTTTTTCTTTGTAAAACTTTCTCTAGAATCAGAGTTTTCTTCTGCAGCCTCAATCAATTCAGAACCGCTGTTGTATGGTTCCTGTTTTTCTTTTTTCTTAAAAAATGAGCCGATAGTTGACTGATTTTTGTCTAGTTTAATCTTTTTGCTTTCAAGAAGTTCTTTGGCCGTTGTAAAGCCAAAATTTTGTTTTCTTTTCTTTTCGACCAAGTCAGAATTTTCTTGTTCTTTCCTCAGCATTTGCTCCTTTTCTAGTCTTCGAAAAACGTCTGCAAGTGTTTCGTTTTTACGCGGTTTTGGGGTGAATCCAACAAGTGCTTCATATATCTGTTTACTTTGCGTTTGTTTTTTAATATTAAACACCTAAAACAATGAAATTGTATGACGTTTGGGAGCATGAATATATTACAAGGAATCTTACGATTTTTGCTAGCGAATTTCTGTACATAGTGACAGTTGTATTAGATGAAAAAACTGAATATTCAATATCAACAGCGCAACTTTCGATATCTTTAATATCGTACTTCTTATCATCACAGCATTCAGAATAGTTTGCCCACAGTACATCTTTAATCTTGGTAACATACTGTTCCCTAATACCTAAATTAAGACCGCTAACTTTACTAGAAGTCGAAGATGCTGCAATCACTCTTTTATTTGCGTTAAATAATTTGTCAATAGTATCGTGAGACACTTCCTACGACAGAAAAATCAAATTTAATAAGTAATTTCATAAGTTTATATTAATTAATTACTCGTGGATTTTTTCGGAGTTCGAATTGCTTTCTTATAAGATCGTTGCATTCTTTTTTAGCGGCCTTTTCCCTCTCAAAACTACCAAAAAAGTCACTATCATTACTTCCTTCACCATCTCTTAAATATGCTATATATTCTCTATAATTAAAATGAAATGTATATGATATAAACATTACAAAATTTGCAACAAAAATTTACTCTTTACTGCCATTCCGTCCACCTTCATATAACTCAGAATAATCGTTGTCATCATTTGCAGAAGTATGAAACTGTATATTCTGGACCATAAAATTATGCACTCTTTCTTCTACCGATTTTTTATCAATACATATATCACATCGGCCGTTGCAGGGTGGTGGGGGTTCTCCAAAATGATCTGTGAAAAGTTTGTGTCGACATTCCCTGCAATTTATTTTATTATGTTGCAATAAAAAAGCTCAAGTTAAAACAGACAGTTATTTACTTTACTGTTTCGCAATATTCTACGATTTTAGTGAAGGCCTTTATTGCATTTTGGGCTTTTATTTTTTTTGATTCTTTATTGGCTTTACCAAGATCGTGACTTAAATGGAATTCAATTGCTTTTCGATCTGCTCTATTGTAGTAAATACGACATTTTGATGGTCTTCCGTCTCGTCCCGCCCTTCCAGATTCTTGGTAAAAAGAAGCAGGATCTTTTGGAACTCCCCAATGTATAACAAACCTACAAAGTTATCTTATCTACATAGGAAATCGCCTATGAATCTAAATAAAAATTAAAAAGTTAAATCTCACCTCACCGTCGCCTTATCTACGCCCATGCCAAAACTAATAGTTGCACAAATGACTGGGAATTCCCCTCTTTGCCAACCTTCCTGGTATGACAACCTCTGGCTACTGGTTAAACCAGCGTGGTAACATTTGGTTGTTATACCTAAACTACTTAACTTATTTGCTAAAAATTCTGTTTGATCTCTAGTTCTACAATAAATTATACCACAAGATTTTGACTCCTACAAATAAAATGATTTCTTTTTAGTAACACCATAATGCTAATTACAACATGGGATGGTAACTGTTGAAAATGTAACACAACAGGAAAAACAATAATTGACTTGACCAAAAGAGAGGACAGAAGCAGTGAGCAAATTGTGCCATACACACCTTAGGAACATCATCTTCATTTCTTAAATGTAAACAGCCAGCAACAAAACTTTTTAAATGATCAAATATCTGTGTATCCAAACTGTTTTGAAAATAGACATCATAAAATAAATTGCTACGAAAACAAGAAGATCTGAATGTTTTGTAAGACTCTGGAAACCTTAGACTTGAAACTATGTCTTTAATGACCTTAAAAGATAACAAAATGAAATCAGTATTTACAAAATCTCAATTAGTAACCTACTTCAGCCCCTGCCGTAGCTGTAAGTGCAACAAAAGGAATATTGTTGTCAACTCGTAACTCCCCTAATTTCAAATAATCAGGACGAAAATCATGGCCCCATTGGCTAACACAATGGGCTTCATCAACAACTATATACGAGATTTTATTAAATTTCACTAAATGCTGAAATAGTTCCTGAAAAGTTAAATTAAGATTTTGACTTTACTTTAACTAGTAACAAATAGGCAATTAATTAATTATCATTTTATCTAAATTAAACCACTTACTTTAAAATTATTACTAGCAGCTTGTTCAGGCGTTATGTACAGTAACTTAATTGTTGGATTAACAGACTTTATATCGTTCAAGATCCAATCTTTCTCTTGTTTTAGTGTTTTTGAATTCAACGATGCTGCTTTTATTCTTAGAACTGACAAGTGATCAATTTGATCCTGAAAAGTCCTACACTCAACCAAATTTTCTTTTAAGGATACTCTTCCAAAAACCATGACCTACCTTTATTAAGGCTAGCAAAGGAGAGAAAACTAATGCCAACTTTTGATTTTGTAATACTGCTGGTAATTGGTAACATAATGATTTACCAGATCCTGTAGGCATAGATACTAAAACATCATGTTCTCCTGTAAAAACAAATGTTGGAATGTTGGATTACCATCTTAATTTTTACCTACTTTTACATATTTCAAGAATGGCATCTTTTTGTAGTTCTGATTTAAAGGAATCAAACCTGAAATATTTCTTAAGTACGTCAGAAACTTCCTGTTCCTCCATGACTTATTTTAACTCGTAAATATGGTAAAAAATACCCACACTTTAGTATTTATCACTATTTTACGTTCTGAAATTTATTAGGTTAAAATTATGACAACATCAATCAAAGACCACAAACGTCAACAACAAGCATTGTTATTGACTGAAGTGTGACTTGAAGTTATGAGCAGTTCAGTTTGCTCTATGGTGGAAATGTTACCGCCATATTTTAAAATTCCGCACTTATATCGACTAAAAATTAAAATTAAATATTTCTGATAAAATTTGATTTTAAAATATTATATAACACAAAACTGTACTTTTTGTTCGTTGAGAGCATCATTACGCTTATGAAAATTGTCCTTCATAATTGGAAAACGATTAAATCAATATTTGAATTAAAATACTCTTGCAAAATTAATACTCATGAAAATATTTAAATACAAGAAAATAAACGTTTTTGAATTAATGAAATAAATTTACATTGGTATGTGTAAATTAATTGCAGTTGTTAATGGATTAAAACAGATATGAACATTGTTAGATACTAAATTGGCCTTTTTCTTTTAAATTATATTCGGTTTTGATTGAGATTTATGAGCTGTCATCAAATAGGCGAATAGAAGAACGGAAGGGATGAAAATGAGGGTCCATAAAAATTTGTCTTATGTGCCGAGGCCTTGGGCACCGGATACCGAAATAATTGTAAAATTCGAACGCCGGAAAGGCACCACAGGAAGTTGTTAGTTAGAAAAGGAATACATACGAAGCGGCGTTTGGACACACATTCCTTTTGTCCTGCTCTGTACGGATAATCTTATTAGGCAGCAATAAAACTAGGAAAGGAAGTTCAATTGTCGGGAAGAAATCGCCACGAAATGAGGTCGTAAAATTTTAAACTAAATAATTCCCCACGGCACACGTTCCGTCTTATTTTCTTTCTAGAGTTCTCTTATGCAAAAATAGAATTAAACTGGGAAGTATTTCTAATTAATAATTTCAACTGATTTCTTGGTAGGTACATTATGCGATATTTTGTAAATATTCAAGAAGTAAAACAACTTTACTAGGGGGTGCTCAGTTAGTAGACAAAGGCCACATAAAGCGATACGATTTTACAGTCCAATTGTAATAAATTGAAATATTAAAAAGCAAACTTATTTTACTTTTTGAACATTACTAGTTATTATATATACTTAATATTTNACATAAAGACATTCTGTAGTATATTTACTATCAGCATTGCACCCGTGCGAAGCATAGTGTACAAATATTACCATTAAACCAATTCCTTAACCCCTATATCCCGGTATGTTTGAAGAAGTTTCACTTAAGTAGCGTGTTGTATAATTACACGTTGTATTATTTTTTTTTTATAATCTGCTCTTAATTAATCGCGATAGTTATGAAGGCATATAAATTATAGATAGATTTAATAAGCGTTATTTCTGTGACAAATTTTGTGACGTCAGGTATGTTAATTTTTATGGCCTCTAGTTAATGGGTTTATTATCCGATAGTGTTTGCTTTGAAAATAAATTCTACTGCCTCTGCATCCGCCCCATTACGAGACGAGAGCCCTAAAAACTATGTTAATAAATAGTTACACATGTATAAGTGTTTGAGGAAGCTTTTAGGGCAGCACACGAAAAACCGAGCCCACTGAGATTAGTAACATATGTTTGTTTCGTCATTTTTCCATGAGGACCTCCTGCCCCACGTGCTTCGTCACGTTGTATCCTACCATCGTACGATGATTAATCGATTATGGTAACGGCCGAATCATTTCCTTTTTCTCATCTTTAATTATTTACAAAACAGGCCATTACCGAAAGGGGCTGACGCCAGTTTATTAGTTTCATTTTTTTAAAACAGTTCATCCGGCCCTTNAATAATAATTTGTCACCGGGATATTCGGTATCACGCAGCTATACGTGCCTAAAGTGCGACGGACGACCGTGTCCATCCGGGACCTATATCAACAATCCTCGCACACCCACATAGCGACTACGTGTAATACCATTGTAATCATTTCCTTGGATTGTCATGGGGGGTACCATCTGCAAGCGAAAGGTACACAAACATATTAATACATACATATATGGGACGTTGTCGTTCAGGATGGCCACCTCCCTCTGGCAGATTGAGCGTCGCCGTCGTCCTCGTGGTGGTAAGAAGAAAAAAAAAAGTGGACAATAATGGGCAGGTGTCAACTTTATATACCTACAATTCATTTAGGCCTTCTTGTTGCAAGACTTCTGGTGGTTGACCGTTGAATACGGAAAAAATACAATGTATCCAGCCGGATGTTAAGAGGAAGCTTAAGAAGGAAACTGTTTAGGACTACAAATGAGCTCGTTCCTGTTAAGTCGGTTGTAAAAATATTAATTTTATGACCGGGGCGAGGTACCTGCTTACGTGGGTGATTTTTTTTGCCATTTTTGGATGTAGCATCTGCTGTTCTGAACTTAATTGTTGTTATAATAAAATTGTTGATAAATAAAATTGTATTTTTCATATAGGCAATAGAAGTGAAAACGCTGGTGTCACTTCACATTTCCTTTTAAAGGTGTAATGTATGAAAAAACAATTTTCCTTGTTTGAAACACTAAATTCATAATTACTGGTACAGTGGAATTCGTTTATTATGACTCCGCCTATATTGGCTAACCGCTTAATATGAAGTAATTGCAGTGTTAAGTTGTTTTCATATTGAATTCTCTGTAAGAAAGTTTGGATATAATGACTCCGTTGAAAATGACATATCGTTTATTATGACTGATTCTCAAGAAATCATATCCGGCTATAGTGACCCAAATGATTAATAATAACATTTTTGTGCCAAAAATGCGGTATCTTTCTATTTTCTGCATAGTTTATTATAACAACGTTGAAGGAATCAGTAAAATTTGGTCTTTTATAACAGTTGACCGCTTTATCCGGACAACCACGCCTGTCTATAATATCTCAATTGTATTTATTTGACTTATTTTTTTAAATAAAAAACAGTTCAAGGTATTTGTACGAATTTGTCGTTATGAAAGATAATTTGACATTTGCCGTTGCTGTAGTAGTTCCGTCGTAATATCCGATGTCATAGTAAACGACAGGTATCATGTATCACAGAGAGTATTGCAGTGGAATCCGCATATAATGACACCGAGGGGAAATGACAAACACGTCTTACTAAGCGGGCGTCGTACAAAGCATAGTCTCGGAAAATAAATAACTTTCTATTTTGGTTAGTTATTTAGTTTAATAGAGAGAAAAAAGTACAAATTGTATATATTGATTAACAGAAAAAGCAAAAGAACGATGAATAGTAATATCAATCAATAATACATAAGAAGCGTCAGAAAAATGAGCGAAAATGTGATTATTAATCATTTGGGTCACTACAGCCGGATATGATTTCTTGAGAATCAGTCATAATAAACGATATGTCATTTTAAACGGAGTCATTATGTTCAAACTTTCCTATAGAGAATTCAATATGAAAACCAAACTTAACACTGCAACTACTTCATATTAAGCGGTTGGTCGATATAGGCTGAGTCATAATAAACGAATATCACCGCACTATTTTTGCCCGCGAGTTTCAAATTTAGTCGCATTATAAATGATATCTATACATTTTTTTCGTCAATTTGAGTATTAAGAAATCGAAAAACAATTAAAGCAAAATTTGAGAATCGGAAGAATTTTTTTGTTCGCCAGTGCCCCTAAACCGTTTTTTGGGATACCCCTTGTTTTCTCCTGCGTCTGATACCGAATGGAATGGCTTGTCTGAGGCATTCACAGACGAAAACAGCTAAAGTAAAACTTCCTGTTCCTAAACCAATTAATTTGCTATTATTATTGTAACGCCTTGGGCGCACTCGGCGTCGCCGTCTGATCTTGCGACGACGACGACGGTTTATTACAACCAGGAAACCGACGGTGCTCGACGACGTCTGCCGTTGAGGACGAGAGTCTACAACAGGCACGAAACGGTTCGCATTTAGCAAGTCCGTAAGCTCCGGTTGTGAATACTGCGCGGGTTTTTAAATGTCCGCCGCTCGCCGGGGGTTGCCACCCCTATATGACTAGCACCACAATCGAGCGGAAATATCATTCTTCGGGCTGGTCTCCAGCAGTACGGATGTCAAGTTCAGTACATGTAGATGCAAATGTTTTTTTTAAATAAAATCATTGTTATGAATCGTCAGTTGTTATCACTTAATCGATTGATTTATTTGTTTTAATCGAAGCGATTTGAGTGAATTGAAGTTTTTTGGGAGGAAGAAAGGGAATAATTTTGTAATACCTATTTATTCAACTGGTGAGTAGTTGGTTATTATTTTTTATTCCTATTACGTAATATCTATTAATTTAATTAGATGGTGTTGTTTTATTTAATCATCAAGTGTATCTACACTGATGATTACTAAAAAGTGGAACAACGCATACGATAAGGTACCTAGTACCTAGGTACTTACTAGAAAAAATATTTGTATGATACTTATTTTCAAAAACTAATTAAGCATTCAGGATTTTTATTGATTTCCGCAAACATTTTCGTAGATATATGTATATTTTCTCAACAATAACGATAAATACGTAAAAGATTAATAATAACAATTCTTGAAACTGCTAACTGCTTTAATAAATTTACCGGAAAATACTCGTAAAATTATGAGTGTTCACTTTGAAAATTATTATCAATCGCTCTCGTCAATTTTATTAGCATGAAGTCATACATAAACTAGGCATGGATATGTAACTAAAATTGATCACACTTCCGGAAACTGCAATGTATTTCTAATAAGTACCTTCGTGATAATAATTTACTTATCATTCATATATGTAAATGTATGTACAGAACCGTATTTAGCAGAAAAGCCGGTACAAAAATGAACAAATTTGCATTTAAATGCATGAAATACATGAACGAAGTACTAAATATATGATATACCCTAAGATAAATACAATTCAGAAATCATCGGAATCCTTAAAGAAAGTCGATATTAAATAGGCCATCAGTTTTATTGCTTGAATGAAACATTTTTTTATTTCGGAATTTAATTATTATTTCCTGAATCTTTTCATTTAGAGTTCATATTGGGTGTATTGAATAACATAATTTTCACCAATTCTTTTGTCGTGCTAGAAGTTCTACT